GGTGAACGTGTCGCTGGTGCCCTCCAACGTGCCCTGCCTGTCCAACACCCCTGCCCGGGAGGCTACGGGGCCCTTGCTGGACCTGCTGCGCACCGTATGCCCGGACCTGGTGCGGGGGGACAACGAGACCACCCTGGTGTGCTGCACCTATGGGCAGCTCAGCGCGCTCCAGCTCAGCGTCGCGCTCTCGGGCACCGTCCTGGCACGGTGCCCGTCCTGTGCCCGCAACTTTGCCAACCTGTACTGCCACAACACCTGCAGCCCTGACCAGAGCCTGTTCACCAACGTGACGCGGGTGGTGAACCGCACGGTGGTGCCCGGGGTGCCCCGCGTGGCAGTGGTGGAGTACCAGAGCTTCTACCGACAGCGCTTCGCCGACGCCGCTTTCTCCTCGTGCCGAGGGGTGCGGCTCCCGGCCACCGGCGGCTTCGCCATCGCCACCATGTGCGGACGCTACGGTGCCCAGCTCTGCACCACCCAACGCTGGCTGGACTTCCAGGGCGACAAAAACAACGGGCTGGCACCGCTACAGATCAACTTCCAGCTGGTGCCCAACGGCACCGAGCCGGGCGATGCCATCGAGCCGCTGGACGTGCGGGTCTGGCGCTGCAGTGAGGCGCCAAGTGAGGATGAAGAGCCCTGCTCGTGCCAGGACTGTGCCGAGTCCTGCCCATCAGTGGTGCCCCCCACAGACCCACCGCCCCCGTTCCGGCTGGGCGAGGCCGATGGTGTCCTGGTCCTCTGTATTCTGCTCTTCGGCTTCCTCGCCATGACTTTCCTCGTGTCTCTGATGTGTCAGCGGCGCTCCAAGGGAGCGACGGTGCCGCAGGCTGTGCCCACTGCCCGCGGGTGCTCGGAGCGGGTGGGCAATGCCAGTCACCGGGCCCTTGCGCAGGCGTTCCGCTGGTGGGGGACATGGGTGGCCGCACAGCCCGTGATAGTGCTGGTGGTGGCCGTGGTGGTGGCCGGGGGGCTCTCGGCCGGGCTGGTGACCCTCCGGCTCACCACGGACCCTGTGGAGCTCTGGTCTGCGCCGGGCAGCCGTGCCAGGCAGGAGAAGACCTTCCACGACCAGCACTTCGGGCCCTTCATGCGCACCAACCAGATCATTGTGACGGCACCGGGCAAGGCTGGGTCTCTCTACGACTCCGTGGTCTTCGGAGCCAAGAACTTCAGTGGGGTCCTGGCTCAGGATGTACTGTGGGCGCTGCTGGAGCTGCAGGAGCGGCTGGCGGGCATTGAGGCCTGGGCACCGCAGGCGGGCAGGAACGTGACGCTCAGGGATGTGTGTTATGCCCCCCTGAACCCTACAGAGCCCACCCTGGGCGACTGCTGTGTCAACAGCGTCACCCAGTACTTCCAGAACAACCGCTCTCACCTGGCACTCACCGCCCTGCAGGAGGATGGCAAAGAGACGGGCACCGTGGACTGGCGCGACCACCTCATCTACTGCGTCAAGTGGGTGCTATGCCACAGGCATGGGGGGCACATGGGGGGTCCCTGGGGGGATGGCTGGGGGGCTCTCTATGGGGTGCCCACTATGGCACAGTGCCCATGGGGAGCCCAGTAGTGTTTGGGGTGATGTCCATGGGACCCTGGCCATGCAGTGGTGTCGGTGGAGGGGGGCTGGGGTGATTCTTGTGGAGCTGGGGGATTCTCCATGGAGTGCCCAGTATGGCAAAGTGTCCATGGGGTGCAAGGCTGTGGGGTTGGCTTTCTCTCTGTGGGTCCCCCAGCACTGTCAGGTACCCACAGGGTGCCAGGCTGTAGGGTTGGGGTTCTCTCTTGGTCCCCCCTCGCAGCTGGGTCCAGGTGGGCACAGGGCAGTGCTGGGTGTCCCTGCTCACCCCCTGGCACCATGTCCCCACCAGCTCCCCGCTCTCCTTCAAGGACATCACGGCGCTGGAGCTGAGCTGTACGGCTGACTATGGCGGGCCCGTGTTCCCATACATCGCCTTCGGGGGATACCAGGGTACGAGGGCAGGGGGGGCATAGGAACCTGGGGGGGGCTCTGTGGGGCAGGGGAGACCTGTGGGCACAGGGACACCTGGGGAACAGGGGCCCTGTGGGCAGTGGAGGTCCCTGTGGGACATGGGAGCACCTTGGGGGGACGGGTCTGTCTCTATGGAATATGGGGGACCTGTGGCCAATGGGGACACCTTAGGGACAGGGGTCCTCTTAGGGTATGGGGACACCTGTAGGGCAGGGGGCACAGGGACACCCTGCGGGATAGGGGACTCCATGAGGCAGGGGGGGACCTGTGGGGCTGTGGGGTGTCTCTGCCACGTCCCCCTGTGTCCCTTCATGTCCCCCCATGTCCCTGTGTCCCCAGACTCAGAGTACACGGAGGCCGAAGCTCTGATCATCACGTACTCCCTGAACAACTTCCCCAGCGGTGACCCCCGGCTCGAGTGGGTTCTGAGCTGGGAGCGCCAATTCCTCGAAGTGGTTCAGGATTTCCAGCGCTCACACAGCCTCAACCTGTCGGTCACTTTCATGGCCGAGGTCAGACCCCTCCCGGTGTCCTCTGTGTCCCTGTGACCCCCCTATGTCCTCTGTGTCCCTGTGTGCCCAGTGCCCCCATGTCACCCGTGACCCTGCTGCCCCCAGTACCTCATGTCCCTGTGCCCCTGGTGCCCCCAGTACCTCATGTCCCTGTGCCCCCCTGTTCCCCTGGTTTCCCCCATGTTTTTGTGCCCCAACATCCCATGTTCCCATTCTCAGGGTGGGATGGGGAGCCCCTGGAGTGCCCGGTGCCCCCTCCCCTGTCCGTGCCCCCTCCCCTGTCCGTGCCCCTCATTTCCCCTCCCCTGTCGGTGCCCTCCCAGCGCTCCCTGGAGGACGAGATCAACCGTACGAGCGGGGAGGACCTGCCGGTGTTCGCAATCAGCTACCTGCTGGTGTTCGCCTACATTGCCCTGGCCCTGGGCGAGTACACGGCCTGGAGCCGCGTGCTGGTGCGTCTGGGGAGGGGGCAGGGGGTCTCGGGGGTCTCAAAGGGGTGTGCGGAGAGTCCAGGGGTTCCGGGGGTCCCAGGGGGGTTCCGGTGGAGCAGGGAGATCCCGAGTGGTGTGCCAGTGGGTCGGGGGAGGGGGGTCCTATGTGCTGTCCAGGGGTTCCAGGGGGTTCCGGGTGTCCCAAGGGGGTCTCGAGGGGATCCAGGGGGGTCTTGGGGGGTGTCCAGGGGTTCTGGGGGGTCCCGGTGGGATCTGGGGCTCTAGGGCGGCCGGGGGTGCTGAGTGTAGGTGCCGCAGGTGGATTCGAAGGTGACGCTGGCAGTAGGGGGCATCATCGTGGTCCTGGGGGCCGTGATGGCCTCCATGGGGTTCCTGGCACTGCTGGGGGTGCCTTCGTCCCTCATCATCCTCGAGGTCGTGCCCTTCCTCGTGCTCGCTGTGGGCGCTGACAACATCTTCATCTTCGTGCAGGAGTTCCAGGTCTGTATGGGGGAGGGCACCGAGGGCGGGGAGGGGCATGGGGGCACTTTGGGGACAGGGTCCCTGTGGGGCAGGGGGACAATTCTGGGATTCTTATGGGGGGCACCTGGGGGTCCCCATGGGGCAGGATGGGGAGGAAGGTGCCCAAGGGGCACAGCAGCCTGTGGCAGCCCCAAGGCCGGGTGGTGGCTGCCCAATGGGGCCCCCTCATGGGGTGGGAGGGGTACCTTTGGGGTTCTCCCCAACGTGGGGGTGTGTGTAGGGTCTCCCCTGGGGTGGAGGTGCCCCATGGGGTTCTCTCTGACCACCCCTGCCAGCAGCAGTCACAGCGGGAGCCAGGCGAGACGCGGGAGCAGCACCTGGGGCGGGTGCTGGCACAGGTGGCACCCAGCATGTTGTTGTGCAGCATCTCCGAGACCATCTGCTTCCTCCTGGGTGAGCTTGGAGGGCTCCGGGGGCACTGGGGGGCACTGGGACACAGAGGTGGACCAGGGGCACAGGGACCTGGGGACACTGGTGGCATGGGGGGCACTGGGGGACAGGGACACTGGGGAAATGGGGGGGGCAACAGGAGCACGGGGGGACACAGTGACATGGGGGACAAGGGGGACACGGTGGGGGCACAGGACCACGTCAGTGGAGCTGAGCATGGTGGGCACGGTGTGGGAACAGTGTGGCGCAGGGGGCTGGCACAGTGCTCGCTGACGTGGGGGGCTGCGGGGTGCCCGCTGAGCCCACGGTCCCGCAGGTGCCCTCTCATCCATGCCTGCCGTGCGAACCTTCGCCCTCACGGCCGCCCTCGCCATCGCCTTCGACTTCCTGCTCCAGATGTCGGGGTTTGTGGCACTGGTGGCACTGGACACCCGGCGGCAGGAGGTACCACCCGGGGGGCTCTGGGGGCATGGGG